TGCTTGTGCTGACGATGTGTTATATTTTGTTACTACGTGGACTCTTTGATATCATTTGGTCTTTTGTTTTGACACTGTTGTTTAGTTTATCACTGTGACACATTTGACGATGTGGTATATTTTGTCCTTATGAGTTGACGATGTGATATATTTTGCCCTTATGAGTTGACGGTGTGATATAATTTGTCCTCATGAGTTGACGATGTGGTATATTTTGTCCTTATGAGTTGACGATGTGGTATATTTTGTCCTTATGAGTCGACGATGTGGTATAATTTGTCCTTATGAGTTGACGATGTGATATAATTTGTCCTTATGAGGTAACGATGTGGTATATTTTGTCCTGATGAGTTGACGATGTGGTATATTTTGTCCTTATGAGTTGACGATGTGATATATTTTGTCCTTATGAGTTGACGATTAGGTATATTTTGTCCTTATGAGTTGACGATGTGGTATATTTTGTCCTTCTGAGTTGACGATGTGGTATATTTTTTCCTTATGAGTTGACGATGTGGTATCTTTTGTCCTGATGAGTTGACGATGTGGTATATTTTTTCCTTATGAGTTGACGATGTGGTATCTTTTGTCCTGATGAGTTGACGATGTGATATATTTTGTTCTTATGAGTTGACGATTTGGTATATTTTGTCCTTATGAGTCGACGATGTGGTATAATTTGTCCTTATGAGTTGACGATGAGGTATATTTTGTCCTTATGAGTTGACGATGTGATATATTTTGTCCTTATGAGTTGACGATGTGATATACTTTGTCCTTATGAGTTGACGATGTGGTATATTTTGTCCTTATGAGTTGACGATGTGGTATATTTTGTCGTCATAGTGTGTTAACAACGTGTTATATGTTGCTCTTGTATATTGAAGCTGCTGTTTATTTTGTCTTCGTATATTGTCCCTGTGGTACATTTTGTCCGTGTGTGTTGACGTCGTAGTACATTCTGCCCTTATATATTGACGCTATTGCATATTATGTCCTCGTTTATTAACGTTGTGTATAGTTTGCCTTTGTGTGTTGATGTTGTGGTATACTTTGATCTTTAAGTTTTGTCTCTATATACAGATATCCTAATCCAGTGAAGGCAGACACTCACGAGCGCTAAATGACTTCCGCACAGCATACATATGTCAACTGAAACAGGTTCAAGGCTAGTGTGATATTTTGAGTAAGTGACACGTTTAATAATGACAATTGCATTATGTTAATGCATTGAAAATAACAAAAGCGATCTAAAAGTGACAGCAGTAACGTCAGCCATCACATGAATCAGACGTCAAAATTATGACATTGAATCATTAGTTATCAATATTAACAATTAATGTTAAGTCAATACAAACAATAAATTGATTTCCAATATCATATTGACTAAAATTAACATACAAATTAAATTTTAACAAGGAACAGTAATATTTTTAACATCAGGGCCTGTTTGTTTATGCGGACAAACCGATTTGTTAATTTTTAAAATAATAAATGTAATCTGACGTACCTACAAAACGTTACAGCAGACCTTGAAGGTGTTCCCAAAACTTTGCCAGAAAACAACATCAAATCACTAACTCAGTCCTTATTGCATAAACGAATAACTCATGTCCAACCAAACCAACCGTTTTACTGTGCATGTAGATAGCCTGTTGTGGTGTAATGGTCTACTGTAGGCGTAAACCAGATCGGGTGGTACTCTGACTGCCATTCTAACGTGAATAGCCCAGAAATGGGCAGCAGATATTTTTCATGTTAATCGAAGCTAGACCAACAAAGCATTCGAAGAGTCACCATATATAAAAGAAGACGAAATGGTTTGGTAAAACTTTCCATCAACATGTTGTATATTTTAATCAGTATGAATTCAACAGATTTATTACAACGTAAACACTTGTGTGAACTATGTCAAAAAATGGTCAAAATAATAAACAAGTTGTACGCTTGGGCGTCATGATAGTGCAAAATGTTACCCTGGAGCAGGTCATAAACAGAAGGATTGTAGTAACTGTCGGCGGTATCCCTACGTGGGACTTGATGGTATTGACATTCATTGAATTACCCTCAGTCCCCGCAAAAACAAGTGAGAGGTTGCTCTATTGAGTGAGATGATGTACACCGACCACAACACATAGGACACGTCAACAGATGACGTGTATGTGTCTACCTACCGAATACTGACCACTGGTCAGTAACGCCTATTGAGGTAACGTATCTATGTACTTTCTACTGACAGAGAATCCATACCGCCTACATTGGGCATATATTCCTGTATTATTTCCGTTCGCCACACACAAGCGTCTGGTCTGTATCACTTCATGGTTTAACAAGTTGCTGGACGATTTCCGCATTGGAAGGGCAACTATTAAAAAAGACTCGTTGAAAATAACGACCCACAAAGAAAACGTTGTTGTCCGGCTAATTTGTAAAAGGAATAAAATGTTTTACCTGTACTTCCAAATCAATTCTTTCATTGTTTTGAACAAGTAAGAGGGTCGATTGCATCGATCAATCAAAACCGGATAGGTTCCATGAAACATAGCTATAAAATACCACCTTGAGATACCAGCTGTTGAATGTCTGAATTACCCAGCGTATCGACTTACTCAAGCAAAAACCTATGCTATTTTTGAGAAATTCATGGACATTTATACACATTTTGGATTTTTTCAACATCTACGGATGATCGTTCTACACTCTTTTCTGGAGATTTAGTGTTTTCGTTTTTAACATGTCTTGTGAAAGATTTGTATTAACTTGTATTTACTGTATGGCCCTTGAAGAGTGAAGCATTAACGACTTAGCATTGTCTCTTCCATTCAAAATCCTTGCAGGAGTAATATGATGTTGTGAACTGTACTGCACGTTTGTGAGAGGTAGGTATATCACACAGCCAACATTACAAGCTATGAGAGATAGATGTATGCATCAATTTCAATCTTCCGAATCATTAGTAGTTCTTATGTGATAATTCTTTTCATCAAAATCCTACGTAATGTAACATATTCACATTTCAACTAAAAATTAAACATGAGGAAGGCATTAGGCATTACAAATAACTAGGTAACATTTGTGTCATTAACTTAGTGTTCAAGCTACCATATTTCCTATCAGCACTCCAGAGGAGTGGAAGGAGGAAGAGAAACAGGCACACAATTTCAATGCATTGTCTAGTGAGGTATTGGGTGGGAACCAATTACATAAATGCAAAGAAATGACAGTTCTAAATGTGCATGGATAATATGACAAAGCTCATCCTTGTACAGTAGTATCTACGGCGGTGATGTAGAGAAGCTGGAGTCAGAAACGACGCGCTGCCATTACTGAATACACACGCGTCATCATAGCAGCCAACCAAGATCTTCAGCACCCTTCGTAACTCTTCAGGACTAGACAGGACGCTGATCGGGACATATTTTACCACCGAAATAAACACAAACTGTGAGTCACAAGTTGTAATGATGAAGAAACCGTATGTATATTTGCTGCACTAAGTCTGATTTATTGTACTGTATACGGTATACGAGGCTAGTGTTTTGTACTTTTCTCCCCACAGAAAATATTTCTTCATTATGGAATACATTTCTGTTCATGTTTTTGGATCTTTATGGTCCAGATTCCTCTTCCTCAACTTCAATTCTTGACATTTATATAGAACATGATAATAACGGTCACTTCAGTGATGAACACTGCGGCAAATTTGACAGTAATAACTTATAAAATGTAATCTTTCCTTTCTTCAGCCAAAATATATACCTTTCTTCATGATTTCATCGAAATACCTAATTATGTGTGTCATATGAAGGCCCATGTATTTGATTATGCTCATTTGTGTGCTTGTTTCGTTGTCACTACTCCGGTTTTCGAGGGCGTGACTATCCTTGCTTTTGGCCAGGAATTGCATTGCCATAAAGCAGAAGACGTTAGCCCTTCCGGAACACCTGGTTTCTATTGCCTAGAAGTATTGCTTTTGATTTGGGATTGGTTTTGTTGACACTTCGGTATTTTCTGGTCGTTTTATTGTTATGGATTTAACATTTCAGATATAATTCGTACTCCAAACCATAGCTTAAGTTTCATGAATTCCCTTATGGATGTATATTATTGACCATAAAACAACTTAATAACTTACCGTTTGTCATCACAGCACGATTGTCAGTAATACGATTTCAGTGTCTAACAATATTAATTACTCACTATGTTTCAGATAGCCGGTAACCTACATACCTACCTGGACATGGAGAAGTGGGTGGAGGGTTAGGTACATGTAGGTAGGTAGGGGTAGGTAGGTAGGTAGGTAGGTAGGGGACAGATAGGGGACACTCTATTACTGTTGTTAAATATGCCAATTGTATAACAATTTGGATTAAATATTGAGTCTCACATGTAAATAATCCATGAAAATGTTTTATAATTTTACTCGAGACCTGATCCTTATATATTTTTTTTAGTTTTTTAAGACACGTTGTGGTGAGCTGGAAAACTAAGCATGATCGGTACTTTTTAAAGATAATATTAATCATGTCAACATAACCCAGCTGTTCTATGTTTAATCCTGAAATGCATGCGCAAGGCCCCCATCAATATACCATATCGTTTCGCCAAATCAAATTGCGTCAACTAATAAAGCACTTTAATTAAAAGGGAAAAGATCATGCTTCAATTTAGTATGACATCTACTTTCATTTCATTGACACGAAAGAAATATAAAATTGATTTAAAAACGAGCCCTAAATTGAGAGATGCACTACATTCGTGAACAATAATCCGGAAGCATTAACTTTGGTCTGACGCCAGATATGCTCCGGAAACTAAGATGAGCGTACATGAACGAGCGCACGCTCGCTCGCAAGGCTTATGACATGTACCCACTGCTTCATTCGAACAGGGTATACTTTACCACATTGTCGGCTCATAACGACCACAAAACAAAAAAAGTTAAAGTCGACAGAAATATAACCCTAAGGAAAAGGTACAAATGACGCCAAACAAAAAGAACGGAGATGAAACATCATTTGTGGTTTAATTGTAATTCAAAAATAATGACTTTTCATACCTGAAACCTAGTTTCCACCTCATCATTCCAATTATCAAACAGATTATATGAAATGCTGAAAGTATGGTAACTAATGAAGCTGGTGCCTCCTAGTCGAAGACAATCACGTGCGATGCTTTCAATGTTAGGGTGACACAAAACAATTTGAGTCCTCAAATAAATATACGATAAAAAAGCACATTATGGTTGTAAGTAATGGCTGACTTATAATTGTTGATGGAGAGCATGTCTTATTGGTTCTAACTGTGGACGATATATCGAACAAGCGTGCCATTATATTCATCGCATGCATTGTAGAAATGTCCTATGTGTATCATTATACATCAATTTGATCGCAAAATAAGTTTAAAGTTATGTTCAGCATTCTTGTTTCGAAACATGAAAACGACAACGAGTTGTATGCCATTTTATTTCACTGACAGATGACAAAGTCAAACGTCGAACCACGACCTTGTTCTAAATTTAAACGATCACAAATAAGTACTCAGAGTGTTCCCATCCAAAGACACCAGCGTGTCCATACTGGAATAACAAACGGACGCATCAGTGTCATACCATTCAGTATGCTCCGTCTCATCAAGTCTAGACTTCAAAATGAAATTATCACAACTTAGTACCCCATGGTGAGAACATCCACTGGAATCAGAATTCGTGTAGTTTTCGCAGAAATGAAACTCTTCATTCAAAGGTAAAAGACATGTTTTGCATATTGGACAACTGCTTGTCAACCGTTCGTCAGTAAATTTCCGTTTTTTCAAAGAAACGGAATTGCGTTCAATGTCACTAAATGTACCAAAATCCTGGATGAAGACTTCGTCCTCCATACCAATCGATTCCTTGTGGCTTCCCCTAGAAGACAATGTCCTTGGGCTACCGTTTGGTGACGAACCGGAATAGCTACTTGTATCAAAACCCGAGTCCCTGTGTTCCCTCAACGGGTTTCTGTCCACGCATTGTACTGGCGCTAAGGACGAACACAGACAAGAATCATGGTGCTCTAGGTAACGTGGCTTGTGCTCTATTTGAACTTTATGAACAACTATTTCATGATCTCTTGTTTCCTCCTCTGAGCTATCATTGTCATTTATTTCTTTAGCGTTATGCAATGTTTTCGGGGTATTTTGATTTATAACATGTTCACATTGTAAATCCTTTACGCCGTGTGCCTCATCTGTGTCTCCGTCGACCGTGTCGACATGTTCGTAACGTAACGCTGATTCGTCCTGTCCATAGGTACAGGTTACGGTGTAGTAACACTGACTATTGTCAATGTCCATACTCAGGTAGTCTACCCCACACTCGTTTTCCAGCATGCCATCTAATGTGGACTTGAGGTCTGTGAAGCTCGGTCTCGCTTTCGGAAGCTCATTCCAGCAACTCAACATAATGTTGTATCTGAAAAATAAAGACACAGATAACATTGTGTTAGTGCTTTTCCATTAGAGTCACAAGAACCATATGTATGCACCAATTATTTATCAATAGTTACATTTTCAAATCCTCTCTTCGTTTGTTGCTGCATACAGACCCAGGAAAGGTTGCCTGGTGGCATATTCGACATTCTGAATATTTTTCTGCATATGCAGCATAGAAATAATGCTGAAAAAAAAACAATACCGCACGGGGTAAACAACTCAAAGTCGATCAGAAATAGCCAAGAAATGAACCTAGGAAACACCAAAATAAAAGCAAAGACACAAAGCTATGTCTTTGTTTTAATCGTTATATACAAATTTCGGAAGCCTTTGTGCGTACATACTATTTTATCTAGGAACTATACATGCCTTTGTTTCCTACAATATAATATACTTCCGTTATATTTCACTTCCATTTCCCCCAAACCCTGACAAAGGCAGCAAATAGTGAATAAGTAAAGGTAAAATACACGAGGGTCCTAGCAACCACACCACAACCTGACATTACACTAAGTAGTGCCTTCCCTGTCGTTAACCCAGCGTCTCCACTAGGACTGGTATCAATGGCGAGATGGAACCACACCAGGACCACAGATCACTTATCCAAACCACAGGCCGTCCGACCAGTCAGAAGAAACAGGAACGGCCATTTGTTACAGACCGATGGGACGACATCCCCAGCTGTGAATGCAACTTCTGTCTCATTCATAACAACTACACCTACACGCATGTCTCCCAGCAGTGTCTGGTCCTTCCCATCACATCAACAAACAGCCATCCAATCTATGTCACATTCTATGTTGCATCGAAACATAAAGATGACTTCTATAAACACCCAGTCATCTCACCTTTGTTGCCAATGTCTCATCAAAACATAAAACACCCAATCGTATCTCCTTTGTTGTCAAAGTCTCATCAAAGCATTGAATACTTCGTCATTTAATTTGTCTCTCATCATAACGTAAATATTATACTATTACCACCGAGTTATTTCTTGTGTTGTTTAACTCGAATCAAAAAATAAAACACCTAATTGTAACTCTCATCAAAGCATGAAATACTTTTTATTTCACTTGTCTCTCATCAAAACGTAAGTATTAATATTATCAACCCTTTTACAACTGTCGACCACAATTGAGCCATCCAGATAAATATATGGTAGTGTCTACTAAAGTTACACTGGGGCGAAAGGGTTGACACCCAGTCATTTCCTGTTGTCTCATCAAAACATAAAACGTTCAATTGTATTTCCTTTGTTGTCTAACTCTCATCAAAACATAAAACATTCAAATGTATTTCCATTGTTGTCTAACTCTCATCAAAACACAAAACATTCAATTGTATCTCCTTTGTTGTTTTACTCTCATCAAAACATAAATCATTCAATTGTATTTCCTTTGTTGTCTAACTCTCATCAAAACATAAAACATTCACTTGTATTTCCTTTGTTGTATAACTCTCATCAAAACATAAAACATTCAATTGTATTTCCTTTGTGGTCTAACTCTCATCAAAACACAAAACATTCAATTGTATCTGCTTTGTTGTCAAAGTCTCATCAAAACACAAAATATTCAATTGTATTTCCTTTGTTGTCCAACTCTCATCCAAACACAAAACATTCAATTGTATCTGCTTCGTTGTCAAAGTCTCATCAAAACACAAAACATCAATTGTATTTCCTTTGTTGTCTAACTCTCATCAAAACCCAAAACATTCAATTGTATCTCCTTTGTTGTCAAAGTCTCATCAAAACACAAAATATTCAATTGTATTTCCTTTGTTGTCCAACTCTCATCCAAACACAAAACATTCAATTGTATCTGCTTCGTTGTCAAAGTCTCATCTAAACACAAAACATTCAATTGTATTTCCTTTGTTGTCTAACTCTCATCAAAACATAAAACATTCAATTGTAATTCCCTTGTTGTCAAAGTCTCATCAAAACACAAAACATTCAATTGTATCTCCTTTGTTGTTTAACTCTCATCAAAACACAAAACATCCAATTTTATCTCCTTTGTTGTCAAAGTCTCATCAAAACATAAAACATTAAATTGTATTTCCTTTGTTGTCTAACTCTCATCAAAACACAAAACATTCAATTGTATCTCCTTTGTTGTCAAAGTCTCATCAAAACACAAAACATTCAATTGTATTTCCATTGTTGTCTAACTCTCATCAAAACACAAACCATTCAATTGTATTTCCTTTGTTGTCAAAGTCTCATCAAAACACAAAACATTCAATTGTATTTCCATTGTTGTCTAAACTCTCATCAAAACATAAATCTTTCAATTGTATTTCCTTTGTTGTCTAAGTCTCATCAAAACACAAAACATTCAATTGTAGTTCCATTGTTGTCTAACTCTCATCAAAACATAAAACATTCAATTGTAATTCCCTTGTTGTCAAAGTCTCATCAAAACACAAAACATCCAATTTTATCTCCTTTGTTGTCAAAGTCTCATCAAAACAATCAAACCATGAAACAAACACCCCTTTGTTGTTGAAGTCTCATCAAATCATATAAAACCTAACAGTTTCTATTATGTTGCCTCTATCTCATTAAAATACAGATGTTGCTATCATGAACAACTAGTCATTTCTATAACTCTGCTGTATGACATGAACACTAGTTAATGAGAAATTGCAAAAATAGCGGCAGAAAAACCCTGGTAGAATTTCACTTATCTGTAAGTTTCTTTACATTTTTGTCGGTATTTATTATGCTGTTAGGAGCATAGGTTATCACTTAGCTTACATCAAACACATGATTTGCTCTGACATTGAGAGGAAGACCACTAGTGTATGATTTGGAGGACTGGTGTTGCTGTGTTTCGCGTCCGGTCAATGTCGTTTTCTACGTATTATTCACCTAAAGGTCTGCCCTGTGACAACTTTGTCTATTGCATTCCTCAGGTAACACAGGTGCCAAACACATAGCCCATCATTATTGACTCCATCAATGCCTTTCCTGTCAGTTCAGTTTGAAAAATTGAAGAATGAAGATTTCAAATTTTCATTTTGTATCATGAAAATTAAATGTATTTTGCTCAACCTAAAAATGATAACATCATAAAAATATCAATCTGAAGGTTGTTTAGGAAGTGACAATGAGGCTATGAAAGTGGTTCAGTGGTTGTGCAGCCATCTCACAAGGTAAGCCCTTGCATCATAAAGCACGCTTGTCAAATATTGACACATAAAATGGCAACAAAAATTTGAATTCAAATACTCTTAAGCACTTACCATAAAGTTAAATACTAGAAACGTTCCAAAGCACAGTTATACAGTAGATATACAAATAAAAATAGCTTAGTTGATACACAATCCAAAGAAACAGAAATCCTGACATCTAAAATCTTGAATGAGAGCTTATTGAATTGATTCATTCATATCCTGTTGGTCTTTTAAGTACTTGAGAATCAATACACAAAGTTTTAGTTAATGCATTTGCAAACTAATCTCATGGTACGTGATTGTATTCAGTGTCTTTCTCCGTGTATCTTGGCATTACAGCAAAGACAAAATGAGATGAATGGGTGTTAGGGAATATCTGCTGAACACAGGTAAGTAATTAAAAAGGTATTGAATCGACTTACATTGAGAAGGCCTCATTTAAAAAAAAAATACTGGATATTTAAAGTCAATTATAACATGTGACCTAGGGTGATTTTATAGTTCTGTACAGCATTCTCTTTTTTCTATCGTCACATAATCCAAGAACTATAAGAAACACGTCATGTTCTGTATGTTCTTCGTTATTCTATTACCCCCAAATCAAGGTGGTGAGTAACGACACGGAGCACGACAGCTAGTCTTGTATCAATTAGCTCTAGTTTATAACAGGAACAATAATAGATTTAGATTATATCCCTAGCAAGTTTGTCATAGAAATATAAATACAACTCAATATTTCCTCCTCTTTCTTTTTGTAGGTTCTGATATTGATTTTATTTATGATATTAAAATATGAAATTCTCAGAAGATATAAAGTTCATTACAAAGTAACATAGTTTACCTTTAAAATGGACAATAATAGTTCCTCTTAGCAGGAGGTAGTTAGCAAATACAAATTGAGAATCTCTCAATAGCCGAGGGAATAAGGAACTTGGCCAATAATGTGACAATGAATGACGTAGGCAGGTGGGTCAGTAATAGGACAAAAGACCATTTTTGGAGATAGATAGAAAGTGTCAGTATGTCTGGTCTTAACACTGACTTTCTAGAAAGTGTAGAAAGTTCATACCCCCTTCCCTCCAATATAGCATTCACCATTCCATAATTTCCATTAATTGGATGCTGATATGAGTAACATGTCTGAGTTATGTATCTACTTGTTGTTGTGAATCAGCAAATTACTGAACAGAAAGGCAAACACTCATTTAATCAGATCGTTATTTTACATCCGATTCGAAGCAATAGACAAAAAAAAGGCATGCACTATTTTGAATTGAGAAATGGATTCAAATCCAAATTGTACACCTGTTATTGTTAATTCTAAATGCGATATTGGCATGATTTCAACACATATGTAAATACCCTCCGACAGGGAAGTCAAGGAATGCTGCACATATTGCTCACAAACATGTAACCACGCTTGGCCTCCACTGGGAACCACAAACCGGACCCCTGATCACATACTCACAAAGAAATATGTGAAATAACATGAGAATTATGATGATGCCTGGTGTTTGAACCTGCCTTTGAACTGTGGTCTTGGGTGGGGGGCATGAGCCTTGGAACATGATAACTGGTAAACCACCTTGCAATGAGCTCCCAGATATGCTACACAAACATCTGTGGTGCAGCTACACCAGGAAAAATGTCCGTTATGTCAATCTTCAGGTAGATAGTTTACTCCCTTACAGACAGTAAATAATTTCATCATCTTCTCAAGGTATTTCACAAATGCTCTTTATGGCACGGAGAGGTTTCCACCAAGTTAATGTATATTACACATCCTTATACCATAAA